AACACTACAACTTTCTGGTTTCAGGACTCTTCTATTTTTAAAATTTTTGAGGATTCGAAAGATCTTTTGTTTATGTCAGGCATATCTGTCAATATTTACAATATTAGAAATAAAGACAAACATTTAAAAAATATTAATTTAAAAACAATAAAAAACCAATTACATGAAGATAACTTTTTCATGAAAAAAAGCTGTGTTTATGAAGAAGATTTGTACTGTTGATTTTTGCAAATCTCTTTAATTTCTGCTGGATTCTCCTATCTGCTTTTGTATTTAATCTACTTCAATGTTACATGTTAAGTAGCCTCTAGAAAAATTCCACTGAAAACTGTGAGGGAATGAGAAGGGAAAATAAGTCTTAATAACATTATGACAAGTTTGACCTCACAGGCCACCAGAAAGGGTATGAAATTCTCTGGACCACACTTTCGAGAACTATTTTTATCATGGTTAAAGCAAAGCAAGGAAGTCAACAGTCTGAGGCTGTTGTCTTTCATAACCAGAATCCTTACACAACCATATTGAAACTTAACTTAGAGGCATTCCTTGCAACTGGTCAATTTTGGAAATAACAAAAACAACAAGCAAACAGAGATTCAGACAATCACAATCAATTAGCTGGATCATTCACAGAGAACAAGAATGTCTAACTACAGCCAATCAAATCATTTCTTTGCTTCCACACTTAGCTTGTAATGTCCCACTGCTCATACTCCAGAGCTGGGCTCTCTGAACCTCTTCTGGTTTTGAGTGCAGTCTGATTCCTGAATAGTTCTTTGCTCAAATAAACTCTGTTATTTTGTCTAAAATGTTTCTTTTTAATGTTACTTTGAAGTATTCTGCATTATAGATGTAAGACAAGGCTGCATCTTCAACTCTCACAGACACTGAGCGTGTAAATGGGGAACCAGAGACTGTTTAGATTCAGACACAGCTGAAGAGAATGGGATGGCAGAGGATGCCGCCTGGTTCCGGCTGTGGGACTCAGGCAGTGCTGCTCATCCAGTCTGCCCCCATGTGCTGATGGGATGTGCACAGCAACCTGACAGCTGCTAAGAACTCCTGCCTCGACATACCTTCATGCCTCAGACACCTGAAAGTAGGAGCTGCCCAAGAGAGGGACAGCCTTATTATCTCTAGATACTTGTATCTTTTAGAATGTTTCCTGAACCAATAGAAAAATCAACTGTGTAACAAACTTGACTGTTAGGATCCAGGCCCTCCACCAGCACTGAGGACAGTGTTTTACAAGCTGTCTTCACACTCATTCCCAGAATCTACTCCTTGGCTGAGGACTCCTTTCCAGAAAGTGTGGACTTAGTCAGTACCTATTTATTTTAATACTGGCTTGAGCAGTACTAATTAAGTGAAACAAATCAACTCATTTAAATAAGAGACAAACAAGGATCCGGCCCCGAAACAAACTTAAAATACTACAGGTTATCTGTATCATTTCCTGGAGAAATGAAGATATGTGACATGTAAGCATGTATGTGTGTGTGAGACAGAGAGCAGAGACAGAGTGAGAGCATGCAGAGAGAAAAGCTTGGCTGACCCAATAAAGGTGATAAGCATGCATTTCCTTGCTGTGAACACAAAAACCCTCTCTCTAGTCCCTGCCCAACCTCTCTGAGGTTGGTGTGTGAGTGGGTTGAGGAGGATGGCAGAGAAGGCAGCCACGCTATGGTGGCAACTCTGAAGGCTCTTCTTCAATGAACCGTAAATGTGGGAACGTCATTCGACCTATTGGAAAAGTAAAGAGGTCACATCACACTGGATCAGTGATCTAGGGCACAAAACAATCAGCTAAGAAGCTTCAAAAGGAGGATTCTGGGGCCTTCCAGCAGAGGTGCTGATGCAGGACACTTTGTGTGGGATCCATGAGTGAGTATCTTAACAAGCACCCTGGTGATTCCATCGCTCATAGACTGTGGACTCCACTTTGGAAAGCTGGTCCAGGTGATCACCAAAATTCCGTCCAGTGATAAAGTAGTGGGGAGAGCCCAGAGAGCAGTGGATCTCATGTGTGGACTGCACCCCCCTGAACAGAGCATCTTCAGGGGGTTTGCAAAGTCAACAACGTGTTCATAATCACACCACGACATTCTACGTCTTTTTCACTGTGTTGACATTTACACTGACAGTTCAAAAGCAAGTGCTAGGTGAAAATGCCTGGCGATGGCCTTATCACAAATCAAGGCAAAGGCACCCAACTCTCACAGTAAGTAGTTTTTGGATTCTTTATTGCCAAATACTTGCGGAATAAAAGCAGTGGGTTAATGTCTTCAATGCGGGAATAAAAAATATTAACTTCATTAAAGCAACCCTTGAGAATCCATCTTTTTAATATTACTGTGTGACAAAATGAAAAGGACACATAGAGTACTTCCACATACTGAAGTACGAGGTGTGTGGAAGAAAAGCACTGTGTGACTGTTTGAGTTGCAAGCGGAACTAATTGCTTTTCGCATGGGACTCCCATATTTTACCTCACAGAATGACTGGCAGACAAACTATGGCTATTCCATAAGTATGTGGCAGTTGTTTTCTCAAAAATGAGTAAGTAATGCCACTGCCTTAAGAAAAATAACCGGAGCTGACCCTGTGGTGTAGTGGGTAAAGCTGCCCCCTGCAGTGCCGGCATGCCGTATGGGCACCGCTTCGTGTCCTGGTTGCTCCAATTCCAATCCAGCTCTCTGCTATGGCCTGAGGAGGTAGTGGAAGATGGCCCAAGTCCTTGGGCTCCTGCACCCATGTGGGAGAACAGAAAGAAGCGCCAGGCTTCTGGCTTCGGATCAGCACAGCTCTGGACATTGTGGCCATCTGGGGAGTGAACCAACAGATGGAAGATCTCTCTGCCTCTCTGTAACTCTGCCTTTCAAATAAATGAATAAATCTTAAAAAAAAAAAAGAAAAATAAAAAACAGCATTTGATTGCTAAATGATAAACGTTGCCAATGATAAAACTTGAGTTTTAAAAAATATATATAACTTTGGAAAATTTTTATCATCACTAGAAGTTTCATAATATTTAAAGGTTTTCTGTTGAGACTGGTAGTGACACCAACAAACATAATTTTTTATACTATGTAGTGAACTGTCTCAATATTTGGAAGAACTGAATAATTCATTGATTCAATATTTTCCAGAAGATCAATATATGATGTCATAAAGTCTAACTATAAATTCCTATTATAAAATCTGTTCAAACTGCAGGTCAGAACAGTATAAAGATTCATGAATATTGCTTAAGAATCTGTCTAATAGTTGAACTTTAAGAAACTACCATTTAGCAAATTGTGGTATGGTATAAAAGAATGTCCAAAATTATCTGAAAAGGCTATTAAAATACTTTCCCCCTTTTCAATTACCTATCTGAGTGAGGTGAGATTTTCTTATATACTTTACCCAAAACAACTTATTGTATCAGTTTACAAACAGATAAGAAAATCCAATTATCTCCTATTGAGAGAAATGTTAAAAGATATGCAACATTTGAAATAAAATATAAAATGCTACATTCTCATGAAATAAAGAGATATCCTTAAAATGAAGTTATTTATAATGAATTAGTAGATAATTTCTCATATTATAAGTGATGTTGGATATAACCCATGTGAACAGAGGCTCTTTGGGATCTTAACAAGTTTTTAGGGTGCAAATAGGATGACCTGAGATCAAAAATTTTGAGAACTCCTAGTGTATAAATCACAATGTGAGAAATGCTAAACAAAATTAAAAAAAAAAAAAATAGATGCCAAGTCATGTGAGAGACAGCCCAGTCATTGTATTGGAAGAAACATGTTTGCCAGATGATTTGTTTACATGGTTAGGCCCAGAAACCACTCAAAGTATCATTTGTGACTGTATCCTTTTAAAAAGCTGTTCACGGGTGCCCTCTGGTGGCTTAACTGCTTTTTTTTTTTTTTTTTTTTTTTTTTAATCAGTATACAGTGACGACCTGGGACTGAGGACATAAAGAATTCTAATTCTACAAGACACTCCAGAGATATCTATCCCAACTACCACTTTATAAATGAAGACTGACAACATCCAGCCTAAGAGTATAAAACAGGATGACAAATGCTATGCTATGCTTTGCGTAAGTATAGGGTATAAAAAAAAGTGTACAGCAGGAAGCATCTGTTCCAGACTTGCAAGGTAGGTCTCCAGGGCAATGCTTTAAAGATGAAAGGTGGCGAACAGGCAGGAATTGAAAGATGGGAGCATTCCAGTCAAAAGGAACAGAAAGCACCAAAGCTCAAAGGTAAAACAGTCCACAATTTGCTCAGATTTAAGGGAACAGTAAAGGCCAATTTTAAGAGTTTATTAAGTACCAGCTGCTACATCAAGTTAATTAAGTTATCTTATTTAATGCTCACATATCAACTAACCTTAAAAGTTAATGGCAGATACTTATAGTTTATGATTTTTCTCCTCTGTATAATTTTTTGAAAAGCAGTTAGCCTTATAAGCATTGTTAATCTTTAGAAAAGCTTACAAATAAATGATAGCTGCTCCTATGTTTTAAAAAGAACTTATTTAAAATTCTTTAGAAAACACCTGGAAGAAATGGAATGGGTCAGATGCTTTATAAGAACTTTGGACTAATTCAGAGAGAAAACAAAATTTTAAATTTAATAAAACTGTAGATAATGCTTTAATTCTAAATGTAGTAAAGTAAAAACTTTGTAATTGCCTTTTCCTTTTCCTAACTTCTACTTTTAGAATATTTCCTCACATGGAGACACTAGATAGGAGTGCTGAAATCAGACCTGTCTGAATGTTGACTTTACCACTTACTAATTGTGACCAGTGATAAATTACTCAACTTGGAGCATTTGCATCTACAAAATGGGGATGGTATCTTCCTCACCAGACATCACAAAGGATAAATTAAAACACATTATGTGTATATGTGGATCACTGGGCAGATGCAAGGTCCCTTTCTGGTTTCTCATGTCCTTAGGCATCTGACATTCCCAAGGGATTTGCCTTACTTTCTTTGATGCTGCTTCTGCAGTGCTGCCTCTGATAATTGTCCCTGCAGGATTAGTTTTCTTTGCTTATCAATATCTCCTTCCATTCGAGCAAAAGCATGAGAGCCAATGAAAGAGAGATCAACTCCCAAGCCTTCATCCTCTTCTTCTTGGTTGTCTGTAACGAAAATACCACTATCAATAGAGAGCTTAGGATGAACCTAAACAGAAAAGAGACTGTAAATGTTGCAATGGAGATGACTGTGAGGTGTCAAAAACAGGGGATAAGGGTTATGTTTTCAGAATGAAAATGAAATTAGAGTTAGGCATTTGTAGAACCAAAATAATGCAAGAAATTGCTTGTCATGTATGATACAAGTTTTAGAAATATGCAAAATTAAATCAATGCTACCTGGGTGTAGCTTTAGGAAGAAAAAAGTAGAATGTGATCATCAACAAAAAGACAGAGGTAACTAGACTATGTTTGAGTTTACACATGGTAATTAGACTGCACTTGGGCTCACAAGAGATAGCTCTGCCACACAGCATCTAACAGAAGAGACAGATAAAGAATTAATGTCTAGAAGCAGTCCTAGAGCTCTGTGTAAGGAGGGAGCACTTGACTGGCACCTAAACCCCAGCCCTTCTGTCAGGTAAAGTCCTCAGGAAGACAGATGGACCAGTATCACAGGGAATAATCCGCACTCACTAGGAAATATTTTAATTATAGTTTAGGAACCTGGTTTTCTTCTATGGTCAAACCAACATAATCATTTTGTTCTGAAACACCTACAGCTGTCACTTCAAATTCATAAGTAAACTTTCTGATGTGTCTGTATGATAAATGTGAATCTGGGTAGCAGAAGCCACTCTCTTAGGAGATCATCTCTTAGCCTGGGGCCCATTGCCTTACGAGACCTGTTAACAAGGAGAACAACAATAAAATAACAAACTTTAAATCATGGGGCACTTCCCAAGGCAGTGCCATCACTTGAATTCCAGCCTGGCTCACCATCAGCCGGGATCTTCCCACACCTACTTCACTGCTCCTCATACTGTGATGGGCCAACAACTTAGAAAGGTTTGGTTTCATTAAAATGTACCTGTGAATCATAATATTTCTTCAGTCTCTTAAGAGGAATTTACTTTTAACAGACTTAATATATTAATTGAAAGTATTTATGAACAAATATTTTTTCAGAGCAGTGAAAACAAGTCAAGTACTCTGAGGATTGGTTAAAAATCTCACCTACTGCCCAACATTCGCTGTTCCCTACTCCTCATCACACTAAATGTACTTTATGGAGAAGAAATTAGTTCAAGGATCCACTCTACTGGAGGGTCTCTTAAAGTACCCGGTGTCCCTCTGGCAAAGCTTGGTTCACAGACATTTACTATTGCTAGATCATTTATAAGCCTCCCCGGCCACATCTGATATGAGTCTTTATACTAGGTTGACAGCAAACTCTTAACAATGCTATCTCACATCTCATCCCTTCACTTTGACCTCTTTTCTTTTTCAGATTTATTTATTTATTTGAAAGTCAGAGCTAGAGAGAGAGAGACAGAGAGGGAGAGAGAAAAAGAGAGAGACAGGCAGAGGAGAGGATCTTTCATCTGCTGGTTTACTCCCCAGTGGCCACAATGGCTGGGCCTGGGCCAGGGCCAGGCCGAACCCAGGAGCCAGGAGCTTCTTCTTGGTCTCCCACATGGGTGCAGGGGCCCAAGCAGTTGGGCCATCTTCCTATGCTTATCCTAGGCCTTTAATAGGGAACTGGATTGGAAGAGGAGCAGCCAGGACACTAACTGGTGCCAATATGGTAGCTTTATCCACTATGCTACAATGGAAGCCCATTTCTGTTTCTCAGAGGGGCACTGACAATCTGCCAGCCTAGCTAGAGTCACTATAAAAAGTGACTATATAAAGTGCTACCACAGGTGTTTCTGATAAGGTTGGAGAGGCCAGCAGGACACCTGAGGGGTTAACTTATAAACCAAACAAAAAAGAATATTAAAAAACAGCTCCTACCCTATTTCCTTATTAAATTAAATTTATACAATCCTTCCCCTGCTGCCACCTCGCATGGAAAAAAATGTTTCTACAGTTTCTGCCCAGATCACCAGTCTTCCCTAGTCTGGAATGCTATACGCAAGGTTCCTTAACAAACTCTTCTATTCTCATTTAGACCATTCTTCATTGGTCTCAAGCGTCATTTTAAGTTTGGTGGTAGCAGGTGGGGAGGGGATCGCATGTTCCACTCACCTTCAAACAATATGGTGATAAATGGAGTGGAGGATGCACACTTTGAGTGAGTAATGGCTCAAGTAGCTGGATCCTTGCCACTAACACAGGAGACCTGGATGGAAGGTTAGGCTCCCAGCTTTGGCCTGGTCCGGCCCTGGCTGTTGTGGACAACTGTGGGAGTGAACCAGTGAATAGGAACTCTTTCTGCCTCTCAAGTACATAAAATAAATAAAAATTTTAAAAAGCAGTCAAGTATTCTTCCACAGATTTTAAATTGATACTCATTTTTAAAAGAAATGTTCACATTAGTAGTTTCACAGTAATTCCCTAACTTGGTAGACTTCAAGCTAAGTTTCAGCAGTAAAGCCCGAGAGGCAGGTCTCCACTGAGAGATTTCTGACCTTGAACGTGTCTGGGTGATGATCAGCACAAGCTGTTGTGCAGGATTCAGCAAGGCTCCGGCCTAACGTGCTGTAACTACTCCTGTGACCTACATTGAGTGTACCACCCACAGAGACAAAATGAATGGCTTGTATTCTTGCCATTAAGTTAAGCAGAGCTTTTGGAGGACACTGTTCAGCTATTTCAAATATTACATGCTACACTACTGTCTTGTAGGAGACTAGGATAAGAACGCGTTACATGCAGCCCTGAATCCTCATTGCCTAACATGGACTTGGGAAGTATTTGTCTACCTACCTACGTGCCCACAGACAGATTTTTTTTTAAAGATTTATTTATTTATTTGAAAAGCAGAGTTACATAGAGGCATAGGCAGGGGAAGAGAGAGAGAGAAAAAGAGAGAGCGAGAGAGAGAGACTTCCATCACTGGTTCACTCCCCAAATGGCCTCAACAGCTGGAGCTGAGCCGATTCCAAGCCAGGAGCCAGGAGCTTCTTCCTGGTCTCCCATGCGGTACAGGGACCTAAGGACTTGGCCATCTTCTACTGCTTTCCCAGGCCATAGCAGAGAGCTGGATCAAAGTGGAGCAGCTGGGACTCGACCCAATGCCCATATGGGATGCCAGCACAGCGCCAGCCCCCAGACATACTTTTCAAAAAAATTTTAATTTAAAGAATAAATCTTATCAGGACTAGGAATCTGAGTCCTGCAAACAGAGAGCTTCCCAAAGATGAAGCTAAACTTCCTGTTTCCTTGGTGGTGATTTTTTATCAGTACCTTTGCCTCCTCATGAGGCAGAACTCTAGAACTCACCCTCCGGAGCACCAGGCTTTTCACTGATTCTGATCTGCCGTTCAGGTACCACAGGCTCCCCTTCTGCATTTCCAATATCTGCAGGTAGGTAGGGCAAAGATCGACTCTCCTCCTTCAATGACCTTGGGAAGTACAGAGGTAGCAGCTTTTGGTAAGTAGCCTGTGTCAGAAAAGCAAGACATTCTGTAAATAACCACAAAGAGAAGGTATGGCGTGAGCAGTGCTGGGTGCTACTCAAACACTGTTAACGACAGCCTGTGTCAATCAGGAATACACACCTTACCTCTCCTGAGCTCAGATTAGTGCCATTTGGTTCTTGTATCCAAGATCTGCGTTTGGTAGCTAGTCCAGTAAAATGTGACATGATGCTGGCAACTCCAGCTCACTGAACCTGGATACCTTCACTTACTGAGGGGGCTGCCTGGAAGGATGACTTGGCTGTGCTGAGACCTCCTTAACTCAAAGGCTTTGTTTTTGAGGGATTTTTTCTCTTCTTTTACATCTCTACTTGTGAGGGATTGCAATTTCATGGCTTTTGTTCTTTCCCTGAATCTTTTTTCTTTCTTTTTTTAAATAAATAGAATAAAATTATTCTACCTTATAATTTCCAAATGGATGAGTCCGCTGGACTCAGTTACAAACCCAGGATACATCTAGGTGTTCAGTGTTATTTTTCCTATATCTTGAAGCATTTTGCTTTTTCATCATCCTAGAAATTATTTTTACTCAATACTACTCATCAAATATTCTGTTAATTGAAAAAAAGACTAAATTAAAATCATCAAACATAAGAATGATGAAATCACCTTATAGAAGGACAATAAGATCATTCAAGAAATCATTATCCTTGGCCGGCACCACAGCTCACTTGGCTAATCCTCCGCCTGCGGTGCCAGCACCCCGGGTTCTAGTCCTGGTTGCTCCTCTTCCAGTTCAGCTCTCTGCTGTGGCCTGGGAAGGCAGTGGAGGATGGCCCAAGTGCTTGGGCCCTGCACCCGCATGGGAGACCAGGAAGAAGCACCTGCTCCTAGCTTTGGATCGGTGCAGCGCACCAGCCGTAGCAGCCATTTGGGAGGTGAACCAACGGAAGGAAGACCTTTCTCTCTGTCTCTCTTTCTCTCACTGTCTAGCTCTGCCTGTCAAAAATTAAAAATTAAAAAAATTTAAGAAAAGAAATCATTATCCATCAGTTTTCTTGTGTTGTCCACAATCTTGCTTTTTTTTTTTTTTAAGGTAGAGTTAGAGAAAGAGAGAAAGAGAGGAAGAGACATCTTCCATCTGCTGGTTCACTCTTCAGATGGCCGCAACAGCAGGGGCTGGGCCAGGTTGAATCCAGGAGCCAGCAGCTTCATCAGGTCTCCCAAATGGGTGCAGGGGCCCAGGTACTTGGGCCATTCCCCACCTCTTTCTCAGGCTCATTAGCAGGGAGCTGGATTGCAAGTGGAGCAGCTGGGGCTCAAAACAGTGCTGGCGTCACAGGCGGTAGCTTAACCTGTTACACCACAACCTGGCCCCTCTTGCATCATGTTTTCAGAAAGTATGTATGAAGACCAGAAACATTCTCTTTATAATTTGTATAGACATAATCCCTTTCCTATTTTGCCAAAGCACAGACAATGAAGTAACTTGTTCAGAGATACAAATAGGAAATATTAGAAGCTAAATAGGATGGAGCATTCTAAGACTAAATAATACCTATTAAGACAAAAATAAAGAACTGCTTTTCTAAAATGGTTCTGAATTAAACTGAAACATACTCAGCTTAATTACATGTAACAAAAACATGTAAATCTCACAATTTATAAAACACCAGCCCCTAAGCTGGCCTAGCACTTGCTTCCAGCTCAGGGAGCACCACAGATTTCCCAACATGGTTGTTTCTGGTTATGCTGCGCAGACACCTGCGGCTTGGGTGACAAGGTGATGCCGTGAGAGCTAACAGAAGGAGCAGAGCAGAGCACCTGCACTGTGAGACTCCACTTAGAGTGACAACAACTTAGCAGTGAAAAATATGAACACTCCTTCTTGACTTTTACTTTCCAAAATAATCTTCAATGAATGATAGTTAAATCCCACTGTGAAATTCGTACATAGATAATCAAGATTTGTCTGCTAGAAATTCAGTATATATAAGACAAATGCAAACATTTAAAAGAGAACATAAGATTTAATACTACAATTATCAAAATACCTCTTCAAGTTCAGAGACAGCAAATACGACCTTTTCAATGGTTTCTCCATGAATCTCTAGAAATCTCCTTACAGTGCCTAAGAAAAAGAATAGATGGATTATTCAATAAATAACAATTTACATGGAAAAGAAACTCTGCAAGTTTTGTTTCTGTAACAGATCCCCGCTCATTTCCTTCAGATCTCTGCTCAGTGACACTCCACTGGTGAGATCATCCCAGAGCAGCCTACATGAAAATCCCTCTCTGACTTGTTTTGTGGAGTTCCTTGTTTATGGTGTGTCCTCTCTGCTCTCCCCTCTTTATCCAGCAGAATGAAGGCCTCACAACCATAGGAACTTTATTTCCTGCTCTATTCCCAGACCCTGACTGCAGACACTTCTCTCTTACCCAGCACATGCTCCGTTCCCAGGGCCTACTGACCCAGCACAAGTGTCTACCCATGCATTCAGTTACAGTATTGGGTGTCCTTCTCAGCCTTACACCCTCTGACAAACCAAAGCTGAATTTCGTTTTCTTAATTTCATGTTATCTCCAATAGCTTTAAGACCTAGCAGCCTTCTCAGTTCCCAACTTGCATTAGTCCGTAATGCCCATGACCCTACCCTTTTAAAATGTTGTCCTCCAGAGTTCTGCCCTTAACAGGTCCAAATCCTGACCTGCATCTTCTCCCCTATTCAAAACCTATTCCTTTACCTGAATCACTCTTCCTTCATCCTGTATTTTCAAGTGCTTCCCACGATCTTTCAACCAGACTGCTAGTATTTCTAATATCATTCCTTCTCTGTTCCAGCTGTTTCAGGTTCTCAATGTATACATAGACATCAGCAATAAGCTCTGACCTGTGCTCCAAGTTTCTTTCTTTTCTAAGTCTGCACACGCACTGTAGGTCGAGTTATCTTCTTATGCTACCTCTCTTACTAAACAGCGGAACAGCTCTGCACAGCTTATGCATTAAGATTCAGTCTCTAGCATGACTCTATATTCCCCCTCCCTGCCAACTGACCACCTTCCTCTACTCTGTTCCTTAGTCCTAGTCCCAACTATTCCTTCTGTATAGCTTAGGTCTTAGCTAAATATATTTATTTGCTGTACTTACAACATGCTGCTTACCTGCCTTTCACTAGAATACCATTCTTCCACCATTCCCTTCCCTTGGTTTGAATTCCTACTCATTTTTCAAGACCCAGTCAAGATCCATTCCTCTGGGTGCAACTCTACCTTTCCTGTGCTCCTCTTATACAGACAGTCTTCAACTTATAATGGCTTGGGTTTGACTTACAATTTTTCTACTCTTCAATGGATTTATTGGGTGTTAATGCATTTTTCACTAACCACTGGCTTGTTGGGACATAATTCATTGTAAATTGATGGAGGAGAATACATATCTTTTGAACATCTTTCTACTTGTAAACTTCTCAAAACATTTAACAGGTAGGATGTGAACTTTTCAAAGTAAAGCATTTTTTACATTAATATGATATTATAATTAAGACACAGCATACCTTAAGGATATGACATGCAATCATTCACAAGTAGGTAGTAAGTAGTAACAGAGTCAGTAATACATGGTTCTGGTTATATACATATTGCCTGTCTTGTTCAACATCCTAATTTAAGATTTAATAGAGGAAACTAATTTGTTGAAGGACTGAACAAACATTCCTAACTTTCCCTCTGTTAGGTGGTAACTTATTTTTCATTTCTCCTTCTAGTCTTCCTTAATACTTATTGAAAAATGAGCTTTCAAATGGGATTTTCGTTTATTCTATCTATGTTTATACCAAGTCTTAACATTCTCACATAGCAGTTTTGCAGGAGATAATTGCAGTATTTCCTTTGGAAGAAAAAATACAATGTCAAGTAGTAACGAAACTGAATTCTCTTAGCAGAGTTCATACACAAAAGCATTTCTACAAAAAGAGGTGGAAAAGACGATGACGTGACTTTAGTCCACACTGCTAGTGAGTACCATTCCTTTCAAGTTTCACTATTCTCTGTACACTATTCTCTGCCTTCAACCATGATGTCATATGCTTAAAGTTTAGTGACTACCCTTTAACTGGTGACATTGACATATGGGACATTAATATTCTCAACCTGGAAACACAAGAACAAAAACTTTCATTTTCTTCTTCTTTTCTTTTTCTTTCTTTTTTTTTTTTTTTTTTTGACAGGCAGAGTGGATAGTGAGAGAGAGAGACAGAGAGAAAGGTCTTCCTTTTGCCATTGGTTCACCCTCCAATGGCCACCACGGCTGGCGCACTGTGACCAGCGCACCGCGCTGATCCAAAGGCAGGAGCCAGGTACTTATCCTGGTCTCCCATGGGGTGCAGGACCCAAGCACTTGGGCCATCCTCCACTGCATTCCCGGGCCACAGCAGAGAGCTGGCCTGGAAGAGGGGCAACCGGGACAGAATCTGGCGCCCCGACTGGGACTAGAACCCCGTGTGCCGGCACCGCAAGGCAGAGGATTAGCCTAGTGAGCCGTGGCGCCCGCCTTCTTTTCTTTTTTTTTTTTATACCACTGTATCCTCTTGCATTCAGCAAAGAACCTAATACAACAGCAATAGTTACTCAAATTTGTGCTGACTAAAATAAATCCATTTATTTAAATGTAGATATTTATTTTTTTTCTGGGAAAAAACTGAACTGCACTAAAAATATTAACTAAATAAAAATTAACTAAAAATAGAAAAAAATCTCAATGTGTCTATCAAGAAGATATAAGTATTAGGTTTCAAATGAAGTAAATTTTGATAATAGTTTAAAAAGAATGCTTTTCATAGTATGGACTTAAGTATTCTATCATTAGATTTGCTTCTGGACCATATATGATACAATAATATACAGGCATTTGTTTTTAAATGCTTGAGAAAGTATTCAAGAAAGCAGCATCATTGTCTCTATGTGTGTGTTTGTGCATTTTAAAAAATGAGATGCTACAGCTTTGCTATTGGATTTACTACATTTAAGGTGTCATAATAAGATCTGTAATAGATCAACAGGGTCTTCTAAAATATAAGTTAATGAAACCACTCTGAGAGCTATATATTTCATTTTTGCCACTTAAATTCCTAGAAATTGCTTCAACAGAGTCGCTTATATCCTCTATTGATCCTCACCTGCTATTACCCATCACTCTCAAGTTGACCTCTCCTATGGTACTATATTAAGTGATTTATCTGGGACCAAAGAGCAATCTTGTTGACTCTCTATCCAATGCATTCCATGCAAAACAATGCTCCTGGGGCCAGTGTTATGTTGCAGTGGGTTAAACCACTGCTTGTGATAGTGGCATTCCAAATTGGAATGCTGGTTCAAGTCCCAGCTACTTCACTTCTGATCCAGCTCCCTGCTAATGTGCCTGAAAAACCAGTGGAACATGGCCCAGGTTCTTGGGTCCCTGCTACCCACATAGGAGACCTGGATAGGGTCCCTAGCTCCTGGCTTTGGACTGGCCCAGTCCAGCCATGACTGATGAAGCCATTTGGGGAATGAACCAGTGGATGGAAAATTTTGTTTCTCCTAAACTTCTATTCTTTAAAATTACTTTAACAAGAAAGGAAACATAGAAGTTATGAGATGATAGGGAAAGGGATAAGAGGAATCAGAACATCAAAATTTGCTGAAAGCATTGAGAGAAGGAGTAATATCAAGGCAGGAATTTTCATTGGGAAAGGCACCATTTAGAAGACAGGCAAGGTATAACACAGGTCTTTTCTAAGCATGATGAGTTACCTAATCTAACAGGTGACCAGACTTAAGAGTCACAAAGCCTGGATCTAAGTTCCAGGTCCTGCAACCCTGAGTCTTTTAATTGTGTAATGGACATCACACTAAAACAAGGGTTGTTGATGAAATTAAATCCAATTTTTCTGCCATTTTAAAAAATACATACTTGTATTTTTTAAGTAAATACCATATTTTTCTTTTTTTTTTTTAAAGATTTATTTATTTATTTGAAAGGCAGAGTTAGAGAGAGGGGAAGACACACACACACACAGAATCTTCTGTCTGCTGGTGTACTCTCCAGTGGACACAATGGCCAGAGCTGGAAAGATCTGAGGCCAGGAGCCAGGAGCTTCTTCCAGGTCAACCATGTGGGTGCAGGGGCCCAAGCACTCAGGCCAATTTTGGCGGCTTTGTCAGGTGCATTAGCAGGGAGCTGGATTGGAAGCGGAGCAGCCAGGACTCAAACCAGCCCCATATGGGATGCTGACACCGCAGATGGTGACTTTACCTACTACCCCACAGAGCTGGCCCCTGAAAATACCATAACTCAAGCATTCATACAAAAATGAAAACATAAGATCCCTGCCTTTCAAGAAGTTGTCGAGGGGACTGGTGTTAGCGTGTAGCAGGTAAAGCTGCATCCCATATGGGTACAGGCTTGAGTCCTGGCTGCACTGCTTCCAACCTAGCTCCCTGCTAATGTGCCTGGGAAAGCAGCAGAGGATGGCCCAAATCCTTGGGTCCCTGCACCCATGTGGAAGACCTGGAAGAAGCTCCAGTTTCCTGGTTTTGGCCTGACCCAGCCCTGGCCGTTGTGGCCATTTTGGAAGTGAACCAGTGGATGGAAGATCTTTCTGTCTCTCTCTCTTCTCTCCCTCTCCCTCTTTAACTCTGCCTTTCAAACAAATAAAAATTAAACCTTAAAAAAAGCTGTCATATATACATATGAATTATAACTATTACATATTTACATATATGTATACATATTTATTATAAAATCCTTAAGTAGTAAAGATATTCATTTTTAAGACATGTTATAATTAAAAGGACTATTTAAGACAGACTAGGTCCTTCACACTAAATTCTAGGTTGTATAACAATAATTTTATACATTCAGAGAACTCTATAATTTTGGATAGATATGATATTCAGTTTGTCTTTAAATTTGGGTCTCAAAGATGACCTAGGATGGTTTCCCTTACAAATGATAAATGTTTTCTACAATATCTGCCACAGATGGTCAAGGAGGCTCTGCATGAATGTTCCCAGTGAGAAGGATTTTACCAAAATGCTTCCTGTAATCGTCAGTCTGATCTCAAAAGGGACCAAAATCTCCTTCTTTGTAACTTGGTCTTAGATTTGCCTTCTGGAATCATTTACAATCCTATGAGCACCTGCAAACCTCCTGAAATAGTGTGCAAGTTCTGTAATTATGTGCACTCTCGCGCAGTGTTCTTTCACTGGATGCTCAAAGTAGTTTATGATGGCACCGCTGCCTGTAGCCAAGAACCACTGCTTGGCAAATGCAGCACAGAGTAAGTCGGCAACAGCACTCCTTTAGACATTTGAAGAGGGACACGACATTTGATAGAAGCTGGCTCTTCTGTAGGAGGGACACCATGAATATCTCAAACTGTCTGTCAATGTCTTATGAACTATGATATCCAGAACTACCTACAAAACTAGAGATGTGGTCTGAACCTAACTGTAATACGGGTAGGTCATGGTCTTTCTTAAGCTGAATGTCGTATATGTTTTGGCTCATATTGATTGAGATCAGTCTTTCTAAAGCATAAATGCAGAGTTTTATATTCAAATATCATACGTGAGAGCTGCTGTTTAAAAAAAGCAAAGTGCCATACAAACATGATATTATGAAATATGTTTTGACTGCACTATTGTAGACTATTAGGGCTATTCTGAATCCTAATTCAACTACCTAATGCACTGGCCATACTTCTTGTGTCAGAATCATTTTCCAATTCCATAGGCAAGTCTTCCTAGCCTTTATTCAAATGACCAAAAATATCAACTCAAGAAAGGAAGCTGGGAAATCTGTAATCCTTCAATAGACACTTCCTTCCAGGCTGCCACCATCAATTAGTCAATTAGTCAGTTAATCTTCTCTGGCTAGAACTACTTGACTGTTGATAAAAAAAAAACTGTAAGACTCACTTTTATACCGCACCTCCAATACTACTTACGAAGCGCTATGTGTGTTGCGTCTTCCAAAGGATAACCTCGTTTTGCAGAATTGATGACACAGAATCCAACGGAAGACATTGACTGCTCTCTGCAAACAGAAACACAAAAACTGCACTGCATTCATGATACTCACACAGGAATACAGTTTTTTTTTTTTTTTTTAAGATTTATTTATCTATTTGAAAGAGTTACACAGAGAGAGGAGAGGCAGAGAGAGAGAGAGATCTTCCATCCAATGGTTCACTCCCCAATTGGCCACAATGGCCAGAGCTGCACTGATCCAAAGCCAGGAGCCTCCTCCAGGTCTCCCATGTGGGTGCAGGGGCCTAAGGACTTGGGCCATGTTCTACTGCTTTCCCAGGCCATAGCAGAGAGATGGATTGGAAGTGGAGCAGCCAGGTCTCAAACAGGCCCCTATATGGGATGCCGGTACTTCAGGCCAGGGCGTTAACCCGCTGTGCCACAGCACCAGCCCCCACAGTTAGTTTCAAAATGCAGCTCACCTTCTTCCCTATCTCTTCAACAAACCCATTATGACAGCTAATCTAATTGCATCACTTAATAATCATATTAATATGTAACTTAATTGTTTAGGGGACATATTATTTCAAGTTAAAGCCTAAATAAAAAGGGAACAGGTTAATTCTCAAGTCACCCAAATCTGCTTTATCCTTTTAAGCCTGAAGAGGGTCTTCCTAAATTTAAGGTCTTCCTAAACTACCTAAGTTCCTTAAAATTTTACTTCAGTAGGTAGGTTTCACCTTTAAAATAGGGGCTTTTACCTGGCCAGTGTGGCCATTTGGGGAGTGAACCAGCAGATGGAAGATTTCTCCCTCCTTTCCTTTGTATAACTCTGTCATTCAAATAGATAAATGAAAAAAAAAAAAAAAACTGGGGCATTTAACAATGTATGGCATGGCTAGTTCAGGAAATGAGCAGACCATACTTTGCCAGCTGAAGTACATTTCTGTAGCAGCTGTACAGGGAGCTCTCAGCTGCTGTGCGGTAGCGGCTCTTATATTTAGGTCCCACTGTGTGAATGATGAACCGGGCAGCCAGGTTGAATCCTTTTGTCAATTTGGCTTCACCTGTTCGGCAACCTGGGAACAGTAGGAGCCATACATTAAGTGGGGTGATACTAGAGAAAGAAAACAACAAATCAAAGCATAACAATAGGTGAAGTATTAAGAATTTTGAGAGACGTCAGTTAAAATAGATGTATTGAACACAAGCATTTATCTCTGTTCCTTTCTGCTCCCAAACTGACAGTGAAGCCATACAACAGGCTTAAGCAGAGACAAAGGGGATGGGAGAGAACATGGAACAGATAAGCATCACCAAAATTCTGGAAGACAGAAAGTCAATGGACTTGCGGTAACTGACTTAGCAGAGCAGAGACCCTTAACTGCTTGCAGAAATGGGCTAAGCAGTGGGAAGCAAGCTGATCTATACTGAAAAGCATGGTTGGATTCAGACAGACTGCTTTGATTCAGATCCTGAGTCTACTCTGTGCCTCCTGTGGTATCCCAGGCAGAAGCTCGGCCTTGCCAGGCCTCAGATTCCTGTTTAAGGGAGATACCAGCAGCACTTCACAAGATTAAATGAGTTAACGTGCAAACTGCATGCAAGGCTATTCATGATTCCGTTCTTACTAGGGAACACTAGAAAGGCTCAGAAATCAGAGGCCCTAGTAAGTACTTCTAAAGGCTATGCTGTAAAGGGGGCCTAAAAAGGGGAGGCCAGGTTAAAAGTCCGAGAACAGGGGACTCTGCAGCAACCCCTGCCCTAGCCAGCACAGCAAAGTGACGACTGCTTTACCACCAGGGCAGCAGAGAGGATTTTTATTCCCTAAAGATGTTGAACTGGAGAGTTTCTGGACTCCAGAACCCCAGGAGCAGCTGAAAAGGAGGGATTACACTGGTTAGAGAAACGTCTAGACCTTTGCCCCTAACTGGCTCCTGAAACAGATCCTCAGGATTACATCCCTGGAGAACTCCTTCCCTGGGAATTAAGAGGCTCAAGCCAGAGGACCTACAGACTGAAAACTGAGCGAAATTCCCCAGATAAACAACAGGGCTCCATCAACGGTAGACTGGATAAAGAAATTATGGGATATGTACTCTTTAGAATACTATACCGCAGTAAGAAACAACGAAATCCAGTCATTTGCAACAAAATGGAGGAATCTGGAACACATCATGCTGAGTGAAATAAGCCAGTCCCAAAGGGACAAATACCATATGTTCTCCCTGATCGGTGACAACTGACTGAACACCAAAAAGGAAACCTGTTGAAGTGAAAGGGACACTATGGGAAACGGTGACTTGATCAGCATAGCCCTGACTGTTAATGAACAACTTAATACATTATCCCTCTTAGTAGTTTTTTTGTCTGTTCTACTTAATATGACTGGTTTAATTCTGTAATTAATACACAGTTATTCTTAAGTGTTGAAATTTAACTGAAATGTGATCCCTGTTAAACATAAGAGTAGGAATAAGAGAGGGAAGAGATATATAATTTGGGACATGCTCAAGCTGACTTGCCCCAAATGGTAGAGTTAGAAACATACCAGGGGACTCCAATTTAATCCCATCAAGGTGGCATGTACCAATGCCATCTCACTATTCCAAGTGATCAATTTCAGTTCACAATTGATCATAATGAAAGGACTAAGAGTCAAAGGGAGCACATAAGCAAGTCTAGTACCTGCTAACACTAACCGATAGAATAAATAAAGGGGAGAGTGATCCAACATGGGAAGTGAGATACTCAGCAGACTCATAGAATGGCAGATGCCCTAAATAGCACTCTGGCCTCAGAATCAGCCCTAAAGGCATTCAGATCTGGCTGAAAAGCCCATGAGAGTATTTCAGGCATGGAAAGCCAAGACACGCTGGCAAAAGATCTCTGTGAGTGAGATCTCAGTGGAAAGAACAGGTCTTCAAAGAAGGAGGTACCTTTCTCTGAAGGGAGGAGAGAACCTCCACTTTGACTATGACCTTGTCTAAACAAGATAAGAGTCGGAGAACTCAAGGGGCTTCCATAGCCTTGGAAACTCATGACTGGAGCATAGGGAGATTACTGATGCCATAGACAGGAGTGTCAATTGGTAAAGTCAACAACAGGAGTCACTGTGCACTTACTCCTCATGTAGGATCTCTGTCCTTAATGTGCTGTACACTGAGGCTTAATGCTATAACGAGTACTCAAATAATATATTTCACTTTGTGTTTCTATGGGGGTGCAAACTGTTGAAATCTTTACTTAATGCATACTAAACTGATCCTCTGTAAAAAAAAAAAAAAAAAAAGAAAGAAAAGAAAAAAACTATCAACTCCCAACTTGACTCTCACTGGGATTAAACATGACAATAGGTCTGATCTGATTTCATCATCATTAAAAAAAATCATCTATTATTTTTCACTTTATGTTTCTGTGTGGGAGCAAACTGTTGAAATCCTTACTTAATGTATACTAAGCTAATCTTCTGTATATTAAGATAATCGAAAATGAATCTTGATGTGAATGGAAGGGGAGAGGGAGTGGGAAAGGGGAGGGTTGTGGGTGGGAGGGACGGTATGGGGGGGAAGCCATAGTAAACCACTATTCGTACTTTGGAAACGTATATTCATTAAATAAAAGTTAAAAAAAAAAAAAAAACAGGGCTCTTGCTCTGTCAACTGCTTCAAAGTTCACCAACAATAACTTTTGCTTACTATTATGGACTGAATGCTTGAAATTCTGAAACCCTCCTCTCTAATGTGATAGTATTTGAAGGTGGGGTCTTTCGGGGTAAATAAGGATTAGATGAAGTTATGAGGGAGAAGCCCTCATGAATGGCACTAAAATCGTTCGTTACAAGCGTCCCCAGAAGGCTTGCTTCCTCTCTCTGCAACAGGAAGATTCAACAAGAAGCTGACAGTCTGCACTCCAAAGGTAGGCCCTCACTAAGACCTGACAATGCTGGCACCCTGATCTCACTTCCAGCCTTCAGCATTGTGAGAAACAACTTTTTGTTGTTTATGAGCAGGCCAGTCTACAGTACTGTTATAGCAGCTTGAATGGCCTAAGACTCACAGACACAAAGCTCCCATCAGCATATTAGTTTCTCCCTCTTAAATGCAGCTAATACTTAAGGATCACCAGGAAGTGAGGGCAGCCTCTAGCAAAAACGAAATAAAACAAACAAATTCTCAAGACAATGAAGGGAAGGAAACACAAAATGAATTAAAAGAAATTGCAGGGGCCAGTGTTCTGGCCTAGCAGGTAAAGCTTTTGCTTGGAACAGTGGCCCATACAGGGCTGGTTCAAGTCCTAGTTGCTTCACTTCAGATCCAGCTCCGTGCACATGGGCTGGGAAAAGCAGTGGAAGATGGCTCAAGTGTTTCAGCCCCTGCCATCCTTGTGGAAGACCTAAATGAAACTCCTGGCTGTTTCAGCCATCTGGTGAGCGAACCAGCAGATGGAAGATCTCTGTTTCTCTCTTTCTCTGTGTTAACTCTTTCAAAATAAATAAAATCTTAAAAAAAAAAAAAACTCAACACCAATATTATTATAATCAGAGAAGAAAATATATGCATATACTTCAAAAAGTTTATGGACTATGGAAATAAAAGATAAGTTTAGGGGCTGGCACTGTGACTCAGTAGGTTAATCCTCCCTCTGTAGCACCGGCATCCCATATAGACGCTGGTTCTAGTCCTGGCTGCTCCTCTTCCAATCCAGCTCTCTGCTATGGCCTGGGAAAGCAGTAGCAGTTTGACCAAGTGCTTAGGCCCCTGCACCTACGTGGGAGACCCGGAGAAAGCTCCTGGCTCCTGGCTTCGGCTTGACACAGCTCCAATCATTGAGGCTATTTAGGGAGTGAATCAGTGGATGGAAGACCTTTCTCTCTGTTTCTTCCTCTCACTGCCTGTAACTCCATCTCTCAAATAAATAAATAAAAATAAAAAAAAAATAAGTTTATTTTGATGCAAAAAATTTTTCAGATCCATGTACATTAGAGTGTTCAAAAAATTATGACAAATGTGTATTTTGAAAACACTATCTATGGAGCTCAAAATTTTTGGCACTAAAATCAACTTATCTTTAATTCCATTTTCCATGAACATTTTGAAGTACCCTTGTATAGTACCTTTGAAACAAAACCAGAATGTTGTTTTTTTAAAAAAGAATATTCACAGGATAGGAAATAGCACTAACATAATTGTTATAGCCAAGTAAAAAATATGATAGCAGAAATCTAAAGTTCAATGAAAGGGTTTAGATTAAAGTTGAGAAAATCTCCCAGAAAGTAAAATAAAAAGATAAAAAAAAAAAACAGAAAAGAAAATTAGAGGATTAAAAAAGGAAGTACAATATTTAATAGACTTTCTTCACAAAGAACAGAGAGTACAGAAGGAAATTACTAATGAAACAAAACAAGAAATTTCCCAGAACCGAAAGACAAGTGTTGTTTTAGACTAAAGGAGCCCACAGTATACCCAAACCACATGAGCGTACATCTCTGTGAAATTTCAGATCGGAAATAAAGATGAGATCATAAAGCTTCCAGGAACAAACCGGTAACAGAGAAAGAATCAAGAGAAAGAATATCATCTGACTTTTTCAGTGGCAATAGTCAAAACAGAAGATAACGCCTTTAAAATTCTAGATGATGACTTTCAAACTAGAATTCTATTTCTAATTAAGTATGAAGACAGGACTATGATCTGGTAATTTTGTACCACTACACCCTTTTACTTCCTGGTAGATTTACTCACAAAGTTGAAGGTGTACATAAAAAAAAAAAAAAAAAAAAGAGAGAGACATAAGATCTAAGAAATGGGTCCAGGGGTTCAGTCCATTAAAGAGGAAAAACGATTTGCCAGGATATTTTTAAAAGTTCCAGGGCAATATTTGTGCAACAGTCATAGAGAGCAGTCAAGAGAGGAATCAGAGAGGGTGGAGGACACCGAGGAGTTTTACCAAGAAAAAGTAGAACTGAAAGATACACTGTATGACTTTATTGAGAGGTTTGCAGTTGTATTTGAAAGCTTCCCGCTAATGTGCCAGGATGGTCCAGGTGTTTGGGCCCCTACCACCCACAGGGAAGACC